TCACTCAGGGAAGACAGGGTCTAAATGATTGCTCCTTGGGGTAAACCCTACATCTCCCTAATCCCTGCTAATTGTCAAAGAAGAATAGAGTGGCTTCTTATCAGCAATTTGCATTTGTGTAATGGCCCTGGTCTGTTGATGCTGTCTACTTCACTGATAAGGAAAACACCACATAAAACAAGCAAGAAAGTAAGCCATCCTTTCCAGCATTATTTTCTTTTCAGCCTGCCTTGAGCAAAAAGAGCCTGACGTTCTACAGGAAATACTGTGTGATTCTGTGGGAAAATATTTAGTGATGAACAGAGAACACTTAATTAGTCCTCAGATTTTTATTGTGTATTTATAAAAATGTGCAATAATGCGTGATTTCCAAAATGTGAAGTTATAAACAGTTTATATCATGTCCTACATACTATGATCATCACACTATTTCTTTTATATTTTATAACTTTAAACTGTTATATTAACAATATCATAAGTACATTTAATTCAGTAACTTAGAAGTTGGGTCAGAAATATTAAAGAATTTTAAGAGTCTTAAAAGTTGAAAATAATCATACATTTAAGATGGTTTTCTTTTAGCTCAAATTGTTCTTCAACTTAATTTATGGGCAAATTTGGTGGTTATAAGTTATTAATAAGCAGTTATGATACAGTTAAAGTAGATTATTGATATTTACTTAATGCCTTACAATTATGCAATGGTTGCCTCTGCAAATTAGATAATCTCTCTTCATATTTTGTACAAGAATAATTTACTAAGAACATTTGAGGCTTGATTATATATCCTGAGTCTGGACTTTTTGTTTTTCCACATAGATATTAACAGTATCATATATTTGCATGCAGCGTTGCAGCTGACAAAGTACTTTATCACACTTCCCAACAGTCCTGTGATAGCACATTTTACAGCTGAGTTTACTGAGGCAGGTTAGCTAGACAAGAGTCACACAGCTAGTAACTGGTAAAATTGAGCCTGGGATCTGATTCTTCTCAGCTAACGCCAGTGTTCGTTTCGTTTCATTTTCTCTATAAAGGTATCCTTTTAGGGAGAATTGTTCACAATCTTACAGTTTTTAACCCCAGTAACTCTAGTTGTTATCTCTATGTCTTGTGCATAATAGACAATCATTAAAGAATTGTAGAAGGGATGAAGGAAGAAAGGTAGGAAGGAGAGAGGAAGGAAGGAAGGAAGAAAGGAAGGAAGGGAGAGAGGGGGGAGGAAGGAAGAAAGAGAGAGAGGGGAAAGGAAGTGAGGAAAGAAGGGAAGAAGGAAGGCAGGCTAGAAAAAAGGGAGCCCTATTATGAGGGGCAGGATTTGAGGAGTCTGTAAATGGTGATCTTAGTCCGCAAATCCTTGGCTAAGTCTGAGAACTGTCCAGCCTCCCTGGGGATGGTCATTAGTCCTGACCTGTAGGCCAGGGGAGACCAGGTCAAGAGTGAAACACTCCAAAGTACATTCTCTGGTAACAAGTTACTGCTTTATTTATACTTTCTTCCTTATAGTATTGCAGTTGCTAACATCCCAAGCAAAGTGTGTTTGGGATAAAGTGTTCATATAAACGGCAAGCATAAAAGTAGTAGATGCATATTTTGCAGTGTTCCTAATTGCGGTTCATTGTGATAAACTCCCAGTTACAACAAACTAGTCACAAAGTGGTGAGAGGCAGGATTTTTTTTTCTTTTTTTTTCCAACTTTTTATTTAAATTCTTGTTAGTTAACATACAGTGCAATATTGGTTTCAGGAGTAGAATTCAGTGACTCATCACTCGCATAGAACACCCAGGGCTCATAGTAACAAGTAGAGGCAGGCTTTATTAAGTACCGAATAGGTGAGATGTACCTTCATTTACTTCCAGGAGGAACTATGAGGGTCTTCTTTTTTATACCAAAACACATTCTATCTGCAAAACTTTTAGCTTAACCTCTGATACAGTCCTCCCAGCTCCCCCAGAAAGAAGGTCGTTGCCATAGCTAGGTTTAAGAACCTCCTTTGTTGCATTAATTTCTGGCAGAATTACTAAATGGAAACTGACTTAGCAATACAGTGTATGTGAGCCAAGGAGAAAGGATATCGCTGCAGAATTTATAGATCTGCTTAAGACTGGCTGTGCACTGTATTGAACTAAGAAGAATGGAAGGAAACCTGGCAAAAATGTGAAGGGTTCATATATCACCATCTCCATCCCAGATTCTTCTGACAATTACATCTTATTCCTGTGTTTGGTTGTTGGTTCAGAACAGCTGTACCCAGTCAGCTGACACTTAGCATCACCCAGGAGTTAATTACTGCTTTACAATTCCACGATCATTTTTGTTCCTGCTTCGGCTAAAGGATAGAAGTGCTAAACATAATAATCCATGATCATATAAGCTAGTTGCTACTTCATTTTCTCCCAGAATTATTTAACCATCAAATATCCCAGCTTCAAGTAATGACCTAAGAATTTTTCAAATGAATGTGTCATAACTTAGTGCTGCGGAATAATCGTTTCACGGGGGAAATATTTTTGAAAAAACAAAAAGGGGTGTTATTTCTGATTTTAACATACATTTATTAATCTTATTTATCTTAAAGTCCAAGGAATATGTACGAGGTATCTGTCTCTTGCTTATGTCACTGCTCATCTTTATTGTTAGTTTTCTAATTCATATGGAGTGTCTACTCTTGGGGGGCTATGATGGGTTAGTTGTTGTTAATAAAAGCCTCAAGAGCCTGGTGCTTGGGTGAGGGGTAATCCTTAGCAACCTGTCAGGGACCACGCAGATCAGCTGGAGGCTCAGAATTTCTCGGTGGGAATGACTGGTGACAGCAGACTGCAGGTGGTCCATTGAGTACTGTCACCTGGGGTAGCAAGGAAACCAGGCCCAATTTGTCATCCCACAGGATCCTGTCAGCAGTTGAAAGTCTTAAGCACAAAACCTTTAGCATTTAAGGCAAATTTTCTCCTTGTATCTTTTAAAAGTAATTGCCGAGGATGGAAATATTAATACATCACATGCAAGCGAACAGTTGTTCACTTGAAGATATAGTATTAGATTAAAATTATGTTATGTGATGTATAGAAATGTTGTCTACTCTATGACTTTACTAGACGAAATGATGCCAGTTACATCCCCCTCTACCTGACAAAGATGTGAGAGTATAGCTGATAATACAGGGTAAAATCATTCTCCTTGGTTCCTTTTGTTTGGTGAAGGATACCTTGAAATGCATTTTGAAAGGCCTTTTTGTTGGAGTAATTAAAAAATTGATGCAGTTCTTAATTATTCGTAATAATGATCCAAGAGTACCATGAATGTTTGAAATCCCCAGATTTCCACTGGTGAGATGCTCATCTGATTGATAAACACCTTCCCTACTTACCCAGTAATAATACCTGCTGTTACTCATTGTGTGCCCGTGCTATGCCAATTCCTCTACCTAGGTTATTTATGATCCCTATGACAATCCTGTAAGAGTGCCATTACCATTGTTTCCAAAATGGGAAAATTGCATTCTGGGTGGCTAAGTGACTTGCTCAAGGACACAAAACTAGTACGAGATGGGATTTGAACCAGATCTGTCTCCAAAGGGCATATCTGACTGTTCTTTGCTGTTTATTCCTAAAAACCATGCTGACAGTAGAGAAATGGTCCAAAAACATGCCCTAGATGGGAGGATGCAGGGGAACAAAGGCCTTGCATGATTTGGAAACTGAATAATCAGACGTTGAGTATTTCTATCAGATAGAGTAAAAATCAGAATTGGAGAAGTCAAAACCAAAACGAAGCAAAATGGGGACTTACAACGGAAATGAAGAAGAAAAATCAAAGAAAGTGGAAAACTAATACATGAGAAGTGAAATAAAAGCAAATAAGGGCATCTGAGTTTCACATGCAAATGATAAAATGGAAAGTGATAAGGAAGTCAAAGAATCACTGAGAATGAGTCAGTAGACAAGGAAAAAATTTTGTCTAAAGATACATAATATATTTTTTCTTTTTCCTGAAAGAGTCAATAGGATCTTTGTTGGCTTACCATAATGCTTCTGCTTGTCACCCTGATAATGTCAGTCATGAACATTACGTAAATTAGACTGTTTGGGGTTGAGACTGAGCACTGCATGTAGTGTTCCTGATGGTGTGAGTGGGGAGAAGTTCTGGTACTAAATGCTCTTGAATCTGAGGACCAAGAGCTTGGGCTTCATTTAATCCATATGCTGAATGGTGGTGGCATCATTTTCACATCGCTTTCACATAACTGAAGTTTGACAGGTGGATATCAAGCTTACCACAGCTGTAAACCAAAATTAAGACTACGGTGTCTACTCCTGATTCAAAATGGATAAATTTTGTAGTGCTATTATTGTCCTTTGCAGTAATACTAGACTGTCTTTCCATTTCCTTAAAAGTATGGCGGCAGACATTCAACAGTCTTCTTCTGAGTGGAACGGAAACTTTGAATAGAATGGCTCCTAATCTGTATGTTAATATACATACAACTAATAACATATAATTTTTTTTATTAGAAACAAATAAGCCACCTTGTATTCTTCTTTGATACATATATCTAAAAACTATAAGGTCAATATGCATATAAAATGTAATTTCCAAATTAAATAAGTAGATGCCATTCAAAAATGATATTGAACATCAGTTGCCCTGACATGACTTTATATCATTACCTTTGAGCCTTCCTGGAAAATATATTTTATTTGTGATAGGTCTTTTCTCTTCCAACTTCCTTAGAAGATAAAATATTGGTTATAAAAAATGTTAAGCATTTTTTCTACTTCATTCTAATTAAATTAATTAACTGCAGTTACCCTTTGATAATTCTATTCCATTTAATTACACCCAGAAAGTACCTTTCTTTTTTGCTGTCGTTTGTTAAACCTGAAAGTGACGTCCGTCACACTTTCTGAGAACTCTTCCTTTTAAGAGAATTTAAGAGTAAAGGCTGTTTAGAAGAGGGAAAGACACATGTAAACCTTCCCCTTCTTTATCTTCTATCCAGCTACATCTACGTCAACAACCGGAACAAGCCATCTTGTAAAGTGTGCAGAGAAGGAGAAAACTTTCTGTGTGAATGGAGGCGAGTGCTTCATGGTGAAAGACCTTTCAAACCCCTCAAGATACTTGTGCAAGTAAGAACGAGAAATCCTCTGTGTGGCTTATGTCCGTAATGACTGCTCTCAGACAACTCCATGTCTCATGTCTTGTTGTTTCTTTTCCCAATTTTGTTGCGTTTTGTTGAATAATGCTGTTTTATTTGTAGAGCGTTTTTGAAAAGTTCACACCATTTGTCATCTCCTGTGTTACATCCAGAATTGTTGTTTGCTTTTTTTCAATTTTCTTTGTGCCTTTATATTTATAAAGTTGCTTTCCTCGTGGTTCTTCTCACTGTTACCTAGAAGAGATGTGCAAATATCATAGAGGCCAATAACTTTTGAAACCACCTTCTCCATCCAGTGTATGAATTAAGCTGTAAGACCATGTTCCTTTTGACCCCAGTGATCACCTGCAAAATGAATAGGACAGCTAAAAGAAGAAGGGCAAAAGATTCACTACTTACACATCTGTTACACTTGGCATTAGCTTGTTGTTTTATAACTACTTTAAAAATGGAATTTAGCTTGATCTCACTAATGGGAGAAAAAATTACATGTGTTTGGAAATGCATTTAGTGTGTGTAGCATCACTGTGTGTAGAAGGCAGAGTTCTTTCATGCTGCCCTTGTGTGTAGATAAATTTAGAATGGTGCTCCTTCCAATGACCTGAAGAATGTGATGCACCATTAAGAAGAATGACAGTTATTCTCTCTCAACAGGCAGAATGAAACAATGATATTAGCAGTACATTAAATATTTAAACCCTATAGCTAAAATTAGTAGGTCTCCTTAAAACCCATGTTTACTGTGCAGTACATTTTAAGTCTGCTCTTTTTTTTTTTAATGTTTTTATTTTCTTTGAGAGAGAGAGAGAGAGACAAAGCATGAGCTGAGGAGGGGCAGAGAGAGGGAGACAGAATCGGAAACAGGCTCCAGGCTCTGAGCTGTCGGCACAGAGCCTGACACAGGGCTCAAACTCACTGATGGTAAGATCATGACCTGAGCCTAAGTCAGACGCTTAACCGACTGAGTCACCCAGGCACCCCAAGTCTACTCTTGATATTTAGGCTGTATGTGGGACGTGGACTCATATAGTTTGATGTGGGAAATAATGTGTCATGTCCCATTGAAATGATGAGAGATGCATATTTATTTTGCATAAAAATGATCTCGTGCTCCAGCATATGAGCTTGTGACTTGAATGTTGACGAAGAAGAACAAGTTTGTCAGAGAGACAGCTGAGCTAATAGAAGGAGCAATTAGCAAAATTAAAAAAGAGGCACAAGAAATAATTAAGAAGACCATGTCCCCTTTATGTCATATAAATAGCATACAAATATTTATGTGATGATGGTTCTAAGAAAACCTTTAATTTTTATAAGTAACAAAGCACATCTTAAAAGACACACCTTTTAGGGGTGCCTGGGTGGCTCAGTCAGTTGAGTGACCAACTTCGGCTCAGGTCACGATCTCACAGTTTTTGGGTTCGAGCCCCACGTCGGGCTCTGTGCTGACAGCTCAGAGCCTGGAGCCTGCTTCAGAGTCTGTGTCTCCTTGTCTCTCTGCCTCTCCCCTGCTCACACTCTGTCTCTCTCTCTCTCTCTCTCTCTCAAAAATAAATAAAACATTAAAAAAAGACACACCTTTTAAAATCATAACATCAAACAAAGATGCCATTTTGTGGGAAATGTTTTGCTGCTCCCTGTGCTGTTCTAGACATGGGCTGTACATGTAGGGTGTCTCATGGGACCTGAAGTACTAAGTTCAAGTAGACAAATACCTCCTAGAACTGTGTTCCTGCCCTCAAAGCTCTTGTGTTTTTTGTTTTTTGGTTTTTAAGTTCTTGTAAAAGAGAAGAAGTGGTTCCAAGAGAAAACAAGTTTGGGTAGTTGTATAGCTGATTTTACCAGTGAGGACAGACAACTTATAAAATTAAATATAGGCTTTTAGAGTGAATAAAAGACTAAGAATCACAAAAATGGGATTGTGATCTCAATTGCTAAACATCTCTTTCATAGAGATAGGTAATAGCCATTAGCCAAGACACAACTAACAGGTAAAAAAAACCTTTTCAAAATTTTAAAGCCAGGTAAGAATGAAAGAGTATGTAGAAAACTATTTTGTCCGGATCCAGATTGCTTCATATGACTATCAATGTTTGTTGTTTTAAAAATAATTTTAGAGATTCACTTTTTGATCACCAGTATATTCAAACCTACATACCTGTAGCAAAGAATAAAAGTTGGTTAATTGTGATCCTTGGTTTGCTGACCTGCTGTGAAACAGCACAAATATGGCACCCCCATAGTTACCGTACTGAATTGGGATGCATAATTCTTATAATTTCCTACAAGGTTTTCTGTGATCAAAAAAAACCCCAAACTGATGCTGAGAATTATAATCTGTAAAATAAGAGGTTCATTTATTATATGGGGAAACTTTGTTATTCCATCCTAAGTGCAAACAACCTAATTATGTTTTAATAAATCTCCTTGAAAAATAGCATAAAATTATAGTTCCTTAAATTCTCCTCCTTTTTAAACAACTATACTCATATTATCTATGTCTCAGACAATTACTTCTTAAGAAAAGCATCTGAGACCACTGTGTTTTAATTATGATAATGAAACATGATCACTTTTCATCATAGCCTTAGCAAAGATTTACAAGCTGAGTGAGTGCATATGATAGTTTCTGAATACCTCCAAGGAACCAGTGCAGTTATTTTCCACATATTAATTTCAGCTATTCTGCAGCCCTCCCACGTCCTACACAAAACATGCAATCACATAAGTGCTGTTCATTTGTTCCATTTTGGTATTGTGCCAACAACTGTAATTTTTTTCACCCACCAGTTTTTCATTAAATGTTAAGCCCAATCCAGGAAAAAAGAAAAAAATTACTGTATATTTTTTAAATCTTGAAGTGAAATGTGTGTTATTCCTCTAATAATTATTAAAGCAGCAAGCCATGAATGAAAACTCTCTATCCTCCAGGCTAATTGTCTAGTGAGTTATGCGTGTCTTCCACTTCTCAGCAAATTGGTATCATAATTTTATTGGGTTTTTTTTTTTTTTTTTTTTTTTTTTTTTTTTTTTGGTGGGGGGGAGTAATTATAATCTTTCAAAAAAGTCTTAAAAAGCTTATCACTGGATCTTGTTGGAAAGAAGATCTTTGACATCGATGATTTTCTTAACTGTTTACCCCTTTTTGGACCGTGTCTTTACTGATGCATCAAAAGCAAGCTGGTACCTTGAGGGAAGAATTGGAGTATATTTAACATCCAAAATATTTCAGGCCTTTTTCATTAAATGAAAGGTTTGTTGTTGTTTTTTCTTTTTTTTTTTTTGATCCTTGTATTGAAAACGTCTTTAACATAAAAAGTAAGCACTACTCAGAACTGAAACGAAGACACATAATATACCGTGTCTTTCGATAGTATAGTGTTCACTAGGCCACTTGAATAGAGACAGAAAACATAAAAATGCTTCATTGGCTCATCATGGTCCTGTGTACGAAGCTAGTTCATAGTTTCCATATGGTCCATCTGTTTAAAGCAAAACATTGCTGAAGCATGAGCCACATCATTCAAAATCAGCTTTATCTCATGATTCAGAAACAACCACAGGCATGGAAGTTTCCAAGTAGTCTCTCTGGTCACCTAATCCATGGTTGTCTTCTTGGGAGTTGAAGTAGAAAACTGGACAGCGGATCTCTTTTGTGTCTCCATTTTGAATAAGGTGTTCCAAAGGGATTAACCGTGTAACAGTTAAACACTTCTCTGAGGAGAGGTTTGCTGGTTACTTGGACATCCCCCTAAGGACCACATGGGAATTTCTGCAGTGGCTCTCATCTTTTATATTGCCCTTCTCTCCATAGTAATTTAAAAATTTATCCCAGGGAAAAAATAGTTACTATTCCAGACCTCATAAAGACAAGAAAGAAACGAATCATTCCATCTTTCACCATCTGATGCCCTATGTAATCACATGGTTCAAAGAAATAGGACAATTTGAAATGACATCCAGATTTGCCTCTTTGTTTGTCTCCTTGTTCTTATATATCAGTTCTTCTGAACAGTTTTAGTAAAGAACAATTTTGGAAGATGTTGATGTGATTTTTTTTTTTTAATCTAAAAATGATTTTATACCAGATCGTATTTATAAACCCATTATGTTGTCCCACGGACAGATGTGGCTTTCTCATGAGGGGATTAGAGTCTTAACCACCAATTTTAGTGAACAGTCTTGATCCCTTTCCCGTCAACTCTCTGGACGATATCTTTATGTGTAATATGGAGTTAATATGTTCTCCAAATTTCTTTCCAGGGAGTCCATGAAATTAAATGAATTCATTTCTGCTAAAGTATTTCTAACTCTGGGGAAGCAAGATTTTTTTCCCCTTATAATACAAAGTAAATGGTAGTATTACATTTTCTCTGTAGACATTAGAAAAATATATACACCTGTCTTAATAGACTACATGCTAGGATGTTTGAAAAACCCCATTTCTTCATTTTATTTAACATTAGCAGTTTTACTTGGTTTGGTGGGGCTCCCGGCTAGCTTTATAACTTTGCATTTGACAGATCAATTAATATCGCTGACCATTATCTTCCTTATCCACAAAAACAAAAAACAAAAACAAGGAAACAAAACAAAACAAGGAAGATGCGAGTTGCCTTCAAACATGAACTTACGATTTTGTGTCATTTTTATGAAACTGTGCAGTATATATAAGGGCCTATAAAAATATGTAACTGTAGGAGATAAAGACACAGCAAATATGTTATAATAAATTATACTCAAAAATGAAACATTAAACATTTGTTTGTAGAACAGCTTTCTATTTATCTATACCAGGCGTTTTTGAAAACACAGAGAAAATGGAAGGCACGGTCCCTGGTCCCTGGAAACTTCGTCTGTTTAGGAAAATGAAGTAGCTAAAATAGTAAATCAATTAGAGTCAGTATATCCCAAGTGGTGCAATGCTGATTATCATGTAATGAAAATCGAAAGAAAGAAAAAGAAAAGACC